ACGTATAGGTCTACCTGCAGCATATTTATCAAGGCCCCAAACCCCAGACCCTGTTTCCCTAAACCCTAAACCCTAAACCCTAAACCCCTAAACCCTAAACCCTAAACCCTAAACCCCAAAACCCTATACCCTAAACCCTATACCCCAAAACCCTATACCCCAAAACCCTATACCCTAAACCCTATAAACCCTACACCCTATACCCCAAAACCCTAAACCCTAAACCCTATACCCCAAAACCCTATACCCTAAACCCTAAACCCTAAAGCATAGATTGTCATCACATTGTCATATAACCCTAAACCCTATAAACCCTAAACCCTACACCTATAAACCCTAAACCCTTCACCCTAAACCCTACACCCTATACCCCAAAACCCTAAACCCTATGAGCCCTACACCCTATACCCCAAAACCCTAAACCCTATGAACCCTAAACCCTAAACCCTAAACCCTAACCCCTAAACCCTAAACCCTAAATTCTTCTGTTGCCTGGGACCCGGGCCCTGCTGGCAAGCACGATCAGCAGTCCGTAGGTCGGGTCGCAGCCTGGAGAAGGACCGCAACCACGCTGAGCATTAGGTCCGTTGTTGAGGGTTTATAGGGTTTATAGGGTTTATAGGGCTTATAGGGCTTATAGGGTTTATAGGGTTTAGGTTTCGGGTTTAGGGAACTTCTTTACTTGCAAAAAGTCCCGCTCCAAGAATTCCTAGCAGGCAGGCATTGGCGGCTTAGGGTTTGGGGTTTAGGGGTGTCGCATACCAAGCCCGGCTGAAGCAGTTGGAGTTCTATGGATGCTTCGCCCTTCTTCCTCTGGACTTATATATGGCCTCCAGGCACGACTGTGAAATGTCATGTCCCCCAGTGGATTTCGAGTGTTCGTAAGCAGTCCGACACACATTTCCTCCCTTCCTCCTGACCCGCGACCCCCTGCCCCACCCCTTTCGTTTCCTTCCTTCTCTGTCCCTTTTGGTGTCCTTGCCACCTGACAAGACTACTCTTCACCTGCGGCCGGGTCGAAATTAAGGTCCTTTGTCGGGAAGGATCCGATCATTCCCAAGTAGGATTCTGATTAGCAAAGGGACCCCTTACACAAGAACTCGAAACCTGACGTTACAGGCCTTGCCAATTAAGGGACAATAGGAGGGACCCCTAGAAGGGACCCTAATCCTAATACTCTATATAACCCTTATATCCCCTATATAACCCCAAGGGTCCCGTTAAGGGTCGCTCCTTTCGTCCCTTGAAATGGGCTTCGTCAACTAACGCCTGAGGCTCTGGCAGGCCATGACCAGACAAACAACGCAGGAGTACACCTGGGCACCAGAGACGGGCAGCCCGAAGATCTTGTTGCAAAGAGCCCTCAAACCCTAAACCCTAAACCTTAAACCCTAAACTCCTGAACCCTAACTCACGTCTTGCTTCGCCGACTCGCCAAGTAGTCTGTCGACAAAACTTCGCCCGAACGGACATGGCTCTTCCATAATATCGGGGCCGCTATAATTGGGGTTTAGGGTATAGGGGTTTGGGGGTTCCTTATTATACTGTAACGTACATGACAGACCTCTGGGAGCTCCCTCATGATCATAGGGCTTTGGGTTGATGCTTTAGGGTTTAGCTATCACCTCTAATGGTGACAGCAGCTTTGGACAATACCCGAACCGAAGAAGCAGGATCACTGATCACCTCATTCATGGCTAACAGAACCCATATGGGTAGTTCTCCAAACTAGGGTCCCCTTTTAAATCCCCAGAATAATACGGCACCCTTATGAACAGGACCCTAAAAGGGATCCTAATTTAGAGAACTCCCCATTTTGCCTATCTGACTCGGCTCACTCGAGGATCCGGCAATGTAGGACACGAAGGATCGCTGGACAGAGCTGCTGTAGCCTGAGCATTCAAGGTCTAGGATTCTGCAGGCATCTCAATCTCGGCGCCCTGCTTCCTACATTGAGTACTGGAAGAACCACTGGAGCCTATGATCCAATCGTCACCCTAAACCCTAAACCCTAAACCCCCAAACCCTAAACCCTAAACCCTAAAACCCTAAAACCCTAAGCCGCCTTCAAATCTGCTGGGAGTCTCTGCCTATCTATACTCTTCGCGAACATGTCAAGGCATTCTCGGCCTCTATTCCCAGAGAGCCCAATACCCCTTAAATCAGGAATATGCCTTAAATCATAATATTAAGGCCACTGTGATTTAAGGTATATTCCTTGATACCCCTTGAATCATAATATTAAGGCCCCTGTAATTTAAGGTATATGCCTTGATACCCCTTTAAATCATAATATTAAGGCCACTGTAATTGAAGGTATATTCCTTATTTAAGGGGTATTCGGCTCTCTGGGTTGACTTCCCTGGTTTCGAGGCTTTGGTGAGCGAATGCGGCTTCCCAGAAGAAGCATGTAGAAAGGGGGCCTTAAGACTTACTCATAGTACTTTGAGGGTTCCTTAATATCACCATCGTAATTAAACATGTAGCTACCCTGAGCAACCCCGCCGTGACTGTAGCAAAGCTGTTGCAGCTGCGGGTCCGGAATGATCCTGAGTCTTGCTTGGGTACAAGCGCATCGAGAAGATCTCAGGAAGATGAGATCAGCACGGCTCGGGACCAAACCTGCCAAAGAAATGCCAAAAAAAGATGCAAGAGACAGGAAGTCCCCCCCCCCCAAAAAAAAAAAAA